CACTGTGGGGCTGCATCTGGAGGGACAGATGACCACGCAGAAAGTCAAATCACGCTCAGTCTAGATGCTTGGGTGACTCAAGGACTCTTGGGGAGCCGGGTAGAAGTTAATGGTGTCACTAATCAAATGCTTTGGCTAATGGTACAGGGCAGTGATTCGGAGGTGTGTCCAAGGGGCCCCTGGATGTCAGCTTGAAATGCATATTCCAGGGCCATACTGCAGACTGGGGGCCGTGGAGCTCCGGGCCTGGGTCTGCCCAGGGCTCCCCTTTCATCAGGATTCGGATTGCACTCAAGTCTGGGCACCATAGGTGCAGCGCCAGGCTGGGCGGTATTCTGATCTGAGGGTTCTGAATTCTGGTTCCAGGCTGCTCACTAGTCTGATATGTGACCTGATGTGTGATATGAGCCAGTGTGGTCCCCTTCTTTGGCCTTAGCCTCCTCACCTGCAGAGCCACCTGCATTTCCACCTGATTTCTGAGTTAGTGGCTCTTCTGAGACCTTGAAGACGGTCCAGCCTCCCTTCCAGCCCCACTTACTGACTCTCCCAGTCACAGTGGCAGCCTCTGCTCGCTGAGCCTTGGCTTCCTTACCTGTCAGTGAGATGAGGGTAGGGTCTGCCTCTGAGGGTTACTGAGAGGATTAAAATGTTAGTTTAAAATTTTGTTTTTCTTGTGGATATTTGGGTAGATTAAAAAGTCTGAAAGGGGCCAGCCAGGTGGCTCAGTTGGATAAGAGTTGACTTAAGAGTGTGAGCGCTGAGCAACAGGGATGCCGGTTCGATTCCCACGCGGGCCAGTGATGCTGCACCCGAGCTGAGTTTGTTGCTGAGCTGCCAACAGGTGGCAGGATGACTCAGCTGGTGTAACAACAAGGCTGCCTGTTCGATGGTGGGCTACAACCACCTGCAACTAAGACTGAACTTGGCACCTTGAGCTGAGCTGTTGCCCGGATGGCACAGTGGATAGAGCGTGCGCTTTTAACAACAAGGCTGCTGGTTCAACTCCTGCATGGGATGGTGGCTACGCCCACCCGCAACTAAGATTGTCACACAGCACGAGATGCCGATGGAAAGCCAGATGGCGACTGGCGCACTCCACAACAAAGATTAAAGAACAACAACTTGGCTGGTCCCCCTTCCCAATTTCCCAACACTGTTCCCCTCCCCCATTTCCCCAATAAAATCTTTACCAAAAAAAAAAAAAGTCTGAAAGGATAAAAATTCCATTGTGAATGGTGGTTATCTGTGAGTGGTGGGATATTTGATGACTAATTTTTCTTTTGCTTAATTTATTATCAATGTTTTTAAAAATAATGATAAAAAGTAAAATTAGTTTTAAGAATACACAATAGAATTATCATATGATCTGGCAATTCAACTTCCGGGTCCATACACAGAGGAATGGAGAGCAGGGACTTGAACAGATACG